GTGTTGGAAGCTGAAGCCAGGAAGTTGTCCACACCTGCAGACAGGAGGTGATAAGAATGAGAAAGCGCTACTGTGAGTGAGAGTGGAGTCAGGCCGAGGTGGACCGAGCACAGGCGGAGGGGAAGAAGAAGCCAGAGATGGGGAACTGAGGGTGCACGTCCAGAGAAGCCAAGGCTGCAAACCAAAGCTCAGCAGTGGTGGTGGGGCACCCAGGAGCAGGGGTTAGGTGTGTGCAGAACGAAGAGTGAACACACGGGAAATGGCCTGAAGTGCAGGAAGGGAATTGAGCACGCTCACTGGGCCTGGAGTTGGGCTCCCAGTGGAGGAGGAAAGCGGGCCTCGGCTGAGACTCAAGGAGGTCCTGAGACTCCAGGAGGTCCGAGTGGAGACTGGGCCGGAGGGGTCTAGATTGGGCCAAAGATGTTTTTGTCTTTCATGCTTTCTGTGATGTCCTTGTGGCTCTGGAACATGTATGAAATTGTTTTGTGTTGACAATATTTTCAGGGCTTGACCCTCCTACAGGGTGGGAAGTGCCTATTGTTTTCAGAGTACCTGGGAGACAAGAAGGTGGCTAACAGTTCCTCACACGTAAGAAGCCTACAAGAGCACCAGGACACGGGTGATGATCAAGAGTGTAGCTGGGTAGGGTAAGCGGACTCTGACAGAATTGACTCACAATAGGCAGGGAGGGCTATTAAGCAGTCCATTTAAGATGGCCGAACTTCAAGTGCTATGTGAAGCATTAAAAAAATGAATTGTGGGCCCAGCAGTTGGCGTAATGGCTATGTTGCTGGACTCCCATGTAGTCGACCGCGATTCAAGCCCCAGACTTGGTGGCTTAAACTCACATCAGGCGCGTGTTCACACGTGCCCTAGATCCCAAGAGGAGACTGGAGGAGAAGGGATTGATTGCACTGTGGCCATCTCCCCCTGGGGGGTGATTTCTCACTTTCTCTCTGTCTCTCTCTGTCTTTCTGGCAAGCACACGTGCCCTAAAGCAAAAAACCCTCTCCAAAAACATTTTTTTTAAATAATGGAGAACCCCCAAAAAAAAAAAAAAAAAAAAAAAAAAAAAAAGAATTGAGACCAGCAAATAGCATGTTTATGTCGCTGGGCTTCCACGTAGTCAACCACAGTTTGAGTCCCATACCGTGTGGCGTAAAACTCATGCCAGGCACGTGTGCGTGCATGCCTAAAATCCAGAGAGGAGAATGGAGGAGAAGGGATTGTGGTGTGGCCATCTTCCTGTAGGGGTGATTTCTCGCTTTCTGTCTCTTTCTGGTGAATGCACATGCCCTATAGCAAAAATCTCTTAAAAAAATGAATTGCATAAAGACTGGAGTTGGGGACTTGATTTGGCAATGGTTCATGTAAGAGGTCACTGTAGGTCTAAGACCAGCTTTGGACTCACTGGTGATCTAAAGCGTTGAACAGTATGTCAGTAGTAACAGTGATAGGGTTCATTACTGCCGTGGCCCAAATGCCTGGCACTTCTACTTCTGTAGATTCTTTTCAATCGTCATAAAAGTCTCATGTGGAAAGTATCATTAGCCTTTTTATCTTTTCAGACATTTTTGCTTTAGAGTGCATGTGCTCGCCAGAGAGAGAGAGACAGAGACAATAAGAGGGAAAGTAAGAAATCATCCCCCAGAGGGATGGCCACACCTTAGTCCCTTCTTTTCCATTCTCCTCTCAAGATCTTGGGCATGCACACACACATGCCAGGCATTAGTTTCAAGCTACCAGGTCCAGGACTTGAACTGCGGTCTACCATGAGGGAGTCCAGTGAAGTAACTGCTATGCCATCTGCTGACTCGTTAGCCTTTTTTATAGATGAAGAAAATGATACAGGAAGATGAAGTGGCTCATTGGACATCACACTACCAGAAAGAGAAGAAGCCATGTTCCTTCCAGAGCTGCACAACACTAAATTGCTTAAAAAGCAAATAAATTTTGGTGAGCATTTATAAAATGATGAGTCCAGATCATGGGGCTCCTTGGTGTTCCATGCTTGGCTTGGATCAACCAGACCCCACATGGAACAAGATGTTCATTCCTAAAGAACCCAGTAGGAAGAACGAGAACAGGTGAGGACAGACAGAAAGGGGCCTAGTGGTGGAGCATAGGGTCTGAAACTGACACTAGAAAGTTCAGGGAATTAAAGATGTGGGGTGGAGGAAGGTTTACTATGTTTCTTAGCATAAAAAGAAATTCAGTGGGTGGGATTTACATGGAGGCAGAGTTAGAGTAGTTGAATTTACTATTGCAACAAGTTGGGCTCTTAAAGAGTCTGATAATTGCATAAGCATGATTAAATGCTTCTATATCCATACAATAAATACTACACAGTTATTTCAAAAGATGTAGCTCTGTCTGTATCACTGTTATTTAAAAATATAGTATGTGAGACTAGCAGATGGCATAATGGTTATGTTGCTGGACTCCCATGTAGTCAACCATGGTTCGAGTCCTGGACCTGGTAGCTTAAAACTCATGCTGCATACGTGTGCGTGCATGCTCAAAATCCCAAGAGGAGAATGGAGAGAAGGGATCACGGGACTGCGGTGTGCCCATGATCTCTGGGGGCGGGAGGGGGGTGATTTCTCACTTTCTGTCTCTCTGCATCTGTCTCTCCAGCAAGTGTACATGCCCTATAACAAAACTCTCTCTTGAAAAAGGTACAGTACGTGAAAAAGGATGACAACATATTATTGTATTCCATTAAAAAAATACATACAAACATCTCAGGCCAGCTAAGTGGTGTAGTGGTTAAGGTGGTTGAATCCCACACGCTGACTGCAGTTTGAGCCCTGGACCCGGTGGCTTTGGGACATGCTGGGTGTGTTTATGTGTGTGTCTGAAATCCCAAGAGCAGAATGGAAGAGAAGGGGTTGCAGTGTGGCCATCTCCCCGGGGGGTGCGGTGGGGATATGTACTTTCTCACTTGCTGTTTCTCTCTGGCAGATGCTTGTGTCCTATAGCAAATTAAAAACTAAAAATTGCATATAAACATCTGGTCATATTGACACACTCGGCAAATGTTTGCAACTGAAATGTGGTTCTCTCATGGTGGGATTTCAGATCATTTTTATGAAGTTCTAATGATTTTTCCATATTTAACATGGCATTTATATCGGAAGAAGAAATGAAAGTGTATTTATAGCTACCCAATACTGAGATCGGTCCCTGTGGAAGCAGGAAGGATCCCACCCTCCCCTCAGGCCCTGGAAATGAGGCCAAGACTGTGATTGGGGAGGGGACAGAACTAGGTCTCTTTCAACTCCGAAGAGGAAAGCAGCCCGTTACCAGACAGTGTGACCCCACTTTGGAAAACACAACTCTGTGCCAGGATCCCTGGCCAAGTACGTGCCAAGGCATTTCCAGAGGATTCCTTTTCAAGCGAAACAAAATGGAATGAAAACCCCAAGCCTCGTGCTGTGATGAGCTTGCCTGTCTAGTGACCTAGTGCGTGTGGGGTGTTGCTCAAGTCTTCACTGACCACCGTGTTGGCTGTCTCAGACACTGGCTCGTCGGATGTTTCCAGCAGGAAGAAGGTGGAGGGGATGGCTTTCTCGCTCTTGCACTCTTCTCTCTTCTCCCTCCTCAGTTCAGAGTTCCCTTTTCCAGAGCAGTCACCACTAGATATGGCGATGTGACTAAAGACGACAGCTCCAGGCTTGGAACCCTAAGGGGAGCCTCCTCTGCCCCAAGGACGGGGCACCCAGGGCTCCATGTGAGCCCCTCCCTGCTACCCTTTGTGTTCGTGCCCTCAGATCCAAGCGGGACTCAACGATCCTTTAGCATACGTAACATCAGAAGTAGCCGTTGTAATGGGATGGGGCATCTCCAAGTTGAAGGAAAAGGGGAACAATGAAAGAGAGAGAAGCATAGATGAGAAAAAAGCCATCCCTACTCTTCTCTGGGCATAAAGCCCAGCTTTAACAGTTGACAGCCTATCCAGGCGGCAGGAGGGACAAGGACAGGTCCTGTCCCCGCTGTTCAGGAGAGCTTCGTTTGTGCGTCTACAGCATACGGTGGACGGGTGAGGTTACGGTTATGGGCTACGGTAAACATCCCAACTGATTCCTGGTTCAAGGGGGAAAAAAAGGACTCACACTGAATTTGAGTGCAAAAAATAAATATAAAATTTATTAAAACACCCACAATATTTTAAAGATACCAGGAGTAATACAGCTCACAAACCCAGTCGTTTGTGTAAATTATAATAAAATACAAATCAAAAAAGGATACATACTTGCAATTTCTAGGCACCCTAAATTAAATTTACTGAAACACTGGGGGAGAAGGGAGAGCCAGGAGGGGGTAGCTCAGGAGGCAAACCAATAAAGTGGGAGGAAGAAATATTAACAAAAAAGGTAAAAATTATACAAAATAAAATTATCGGCATAAATTTACTGTACTAAGAATATCTACAGTTTAATAATACACATCCTATTGCCTTGAGACATTGCAAAAATCTACCATTCATCCATCAACCCCAGATAAACTTCATTTCAAGTAGCCACAGTTTACAAAGTCAAGACGGAATATTCAAGTATGGTTGTTAAGTTCACCTCCATTGGAAGCCAAGTAACCAAACAGGAATCCAAACAGATAAGAAACAAAACACATCAAAAAGCTTCTAGATTAAGTCTAACGTATTGATATGCCACTACACGACCTGCCCTTGTTTCTTGAATTAGAACGCACGAAAAAGAAAGGACATCACTCCTGTTTTTCTCCCCCCCGTTTCCCCTCGAAAGAAAAAAAATAGCGATTGGAACCAAGAAAATTTGGATGCTCAGATGTGCCAATTAGTATTCTAATTTCAATCCCCATGGGAAGAGTGACGAGTTACCCCTGAAGGATGGGTAGTCAAAATGAGAAGAGAGAGCAAACGATACCACTACAAAAAGCATCCCTGATATCAGAATAGAAGCAAAGGTAGGCCAGATCACTCGCTGATTTGGGGGCAAAAAAGACACTTCAGACCTTGCGTGTCGGCGCTGCAGTCTCTGCTCAGGGGAGAAGCCTGCGGCTCTGGGGCAGGGCCGGAGCACCCGCAGGCCGCGCGCGGGCGGGGACGGTATGACCTACGCTGGAGTGTGCACCTCACCAAGTTCATGGTCCAGGGTATGCTGAAGCGGGCCACGGACGACAGATGCAGCCGGCTAGTACACCTAGGTCTGGAGGGAGTCGTTCCAGCGGACAGCAACGACGGAGAAAGCTCAGTGAGATGGGCCTAGGAGATTCACACTGGACTCGAAAGCACAACTGAGAGAACTGGATCAAGTCAACGCGCTCCTTCCTTGAGGCATTCTGCCATGTGAACTGCTGAGGAATGAACAACAAAGTGACCCCAGATTCAAGGCAAGCCCGTCACTGGACGACCTGCGATGATCAGACCCTCGTGGAATCTACTTTACTGAAGTTGTCACAATGTCCTGTTTCTGAGGTATTTAAAACAACTATTGTGACAGTGGATGACACAAAATGGAGCTTCCTGTTGAGTTTTGAAAACACCAGCTTCTGTGGACCCAAGACAAAATTGAGAATAGCACCAACTAAAAAGCGGCCTCAGTGGCATCGCGCGAGCCAAGCAGCTTCCTTTCATCTGAACATGAGGGGTCCCCGATGAGAGGCAGAAGCGACTCTGGGCAAAGACCACGAGGAGCAAAGGAATGAGCCCCTTGACCCCCACGGTCCCGGTGGTGAGGCCAGGCAGGAAGGAGAACCATCCGGCCCCCCCGCCCCCACGCTCCTCGGACTCCCAGAGCCGTCTGCTTAGCACCCTGGGCTGCAGGAGAACGACGTGTGTCCCTGGCTGTGAGAGTGTCTGCATGCTAGAAGAGACAGGAGTCCCCGACTCCTTTCCTCAGAACACCCAAGCACCCTGCACTCTTTCTCATGAGGCCTGAGAAGTCAAGTGTGAAACCGAAGCACCCGCCAAGCCAGGCCAGGCCCGCTCCTGCCGAGCTCGGGAGCCAGGCCTTGGTGACTTGCCGTTCTGTGTGTGGCCACCGAGGGAAGAACAACCGAACCGAACCGAACCGAACCGAACCGAACCAAACGAAACCCCTGCTCGGAGCAGATGACGGCACGGTGAACAGAGGTCTGAGAGGACAGCACCAAGAGAGGGGAGGGGAAAGCCGACAGACGGAGCCCACCTTGTTTTTGGTTGGTTGTGGTTTCAGAACGTGGATAGCACCTCAGCAAGACAGGGTCAGGGACAGTCACATTAAACACCATAGCACCATGTTGTTTAGACTATTTCAATTCATAAAAATGCTTCCTAGTCCATAAAACACACTTCAGTAACAAAAGGAAAGAGAGATTGGTTGAGGCACGTCAGGGATATCATCTCGTTTTCCACCAGCTTTGCCTTGGTTTCAGATCTTGAGGCGGTTAAACTTCAAGAAGAAAAGTCTGGCTGGGTTTCTCTCCACGAAACCAGGGTACCCTCTACTCATCGTCACCCACCCTCGCATCGACTGCTGTCTGATTCTAAGCAATTAAGCTCTGCTACTTCTTTCCTCGCTTGAGCACTTAAGAAATCCCTTGCTCTGCAAACCACTGTCTCCCAAAGAGGCTGGTGGAAAGGCCAAAGAGGGCGCAGGGCACGATCGCTTCCCACGCACACCATCATCCTGGTGAAAAGGCAAAGCAGTCCCCAGGAAGCCAGAGTGTGGAAAGCTTCGGCCCTGCTGAAAACCAGACCCAACCACAAAAACCAAAAACCCCCAAATCCATGCAACGCCTTCCACCACGATTTCCAATGGTCAGTTGACGGTTTCTTGAGCTAGCACCAGTTATTTTGTGAGAACCTGCTGTAAAGCGATTTTTGTTTTACAAATCTCTTAGCACAGAACCTTGCAAGTTCCCTCGCACGCAACAGGCAGGGAAAACAAAGCAAAGCGAAAGAGGAAGCGAATGTTCGCACTGCATGCGGATGGTGTCCGTGGACAGGGCACAGTGGGGAGATGACTCTAAGACGCCATCGTTCTCCGTTGCTGTAACATCACTCTTTAAAACTTGGTCATGCTGTTAGGTTCTTTAGTTGAATGGCTTTATTTTTCTTCTCATGATAAAAACGTCTGTTAATCATCTTTAGGACTTAAAAAATGATAGCGCCAGTAAAAAATAAAAATTTGACTTTTTCTCTTTAAGAAACCTTCAGCAGCAAGGGGGGGATATAGAGCTGTGCATAGTTACTTTTTAAATATACGTCTAAAGCATGCTAATTTCAATGACTGAGATTTGAGGTAGGTTATACATGTAGTGTGTAAAAATCAGCATGGGCTTCGCACGGCAACAGCACCACCTAACTCTGCAAACGCCACCTGGAGGGGAACGGGATGTCCAATGGAGACCGCCTCTTGACTCGCCTCCCCGCAGCCCGTTTCCTAGTCTTGAATGTGTGAATCTAGGCCGTGTGGGCTGGGGGGGGGGGCAGACATCGCATGCCTTTCGCTTGTACTGGTTTCTCCTTGCATCTAATGGCTTTGCTACCAAAGGGTGATGAGGGCAAGAGTATACTGAACACACATCAGGAAGATTCACACATGCCACTATCCGAATCACCTGGTTACACTCAGGACCTTCCAAACCAACAGCCAGCCTGGGGCTCCCACGGGTCACACAGACGGTCACATTCTCCAAATGTTTCGTAAAATATCGTATTTCTTGCTTAAGATCATTTAAAATGAAGTTTTCAAGGCACCCCCGCATCTACCTAAGCACGGAGTCAAATGAGACCTGCATAAAAGTACTGATGCGATAAGCAAAATAGCATTTAAAGGACCCAACTTTCCCTCAAAACTAGAAAATTAGCATGCTCATTAAAGACTCTGCTTCCTTTAGCTTGTCGCCCTGAAGGTCAGAGGTTTTCCTATAAATGTGAGTTCTGAATAATTCTAAATCCTGATAAGCTCTTGGGTATTTATTTCAAAAGCAATAATATTTCATTTTTGTCCTGTAAAATAAATGCAACTTTACAGACTATGGTAAAAGTGGAGGATAGACAAAGCACGTTAAATATTCAGCTACTATTTACAATTTCTCCCACAATTACATGTTAAAACATACTTTTTTTTTTTCAAGTTGCTGTTTAAATCTAGGCAAAAGTGCTTAAAAAAATCTTTCACTATTTACAGTTAAAACCAGACCACATAAACGCTCAGGACATCTCGCGGCGACTCTCCGCCAGTGCTTCCCAACGGTTACAGTAAACACCCAGCCGGGCGGCTCTCAGCTCTTAACAAGGCACCTGGAAGCTCAGGGACTTGCCTTCAGCATCGCCATCTGATTGTTAAACTCGTTTAAGACCCACATCTGAATCAGATTGCTCAACAAATCGCTGATGTTTATCTCAGGGCTTGGTTGTCACTCTGTGTGGCCACACCCCTCTGTGTGTCCGGACAGCCCCCCCACCCCATTCAGCACACGCATCCACACGGGTAGCTTGGTTTCATTTCTGCTAACACCACAGGGAAAACACACACTCGCAAGTCTGACTTGCTTCCACCTGTCAGGCCCAACCTCTCTCAAAAATGTCACAAAATGAAGCACCACATTCTCATTTCGAAGAACTGAACTGATGCACCAGAATTGTACAATGGGTGTGTTCAAGTGGGTGGAAGGGGACAAGGGAAAGGAGGAAATGATCCCAGGGAGTAATGGCACCAATTAGGGAGGAAAATCATAGCAACCTGCTGAAAATGTTTGACTCTTGCGCTTTAGAACTGTGAAGTGTAGACCCGCCCCCACGGGCTAGCACGGAGGGAGTGGGCTCAGGTGTGAGGCTTGCACCATTGTCCAATGTGGAAATCCAGGAATAAGGACAGATGTGTTCACTACTGTTACACTGGTCTGCTGAGCTCCCGCAGGAAGTGACCTGCCCAAGAGTCAAGAAGGTCCCAGCACCCGACTACAGCACCAGGCTCCGCACAGCGCCAAGCACAGAGCTACGCTGGCTTTTCACAGCTTGGGTTCAACTTCTTGTTTTTAAAGATACAGTAGCCCTTTTCGGTATCAGCTTAGACTTTGGGGCATTTACAAAAAATTGCCACCAAGACAAATTCCTTCAGCCCAGTATTCATTGGTTTGTCAACGCGGTGGAAACGGCTCCTGAGAGCCTTCCACTCCAGCCCCATTGTGAGGTGCTGCCTAGCGAACCATGACATCATGTGACTCGATAAATAAGGGACAGAGAGGATTCAGTGTGGAGACTAGCAAGCTTGAAGCTGTCTACTTCCAACCTGGTTTCAAGGGAAATCTATGCCAGCATCTCCGGGGCCTGGCCTGTGCGCATCTGCCCCTCCATTCCCAAGCCAATGACTGAGAGGGGCCCCCCGGTGTTCTACAGATTCTCCCATCCTGCTGGAGGACAGAGGCTGTCCTGAGGGCGCCCTTCCCCAGGGGAAGGTGTGTCTGTGGGAGGGATGGCCTGGGCGGCTACCCGCACTGGGCTTGAGAGGGGCAGCGGGCTGAGCCTGGTGGCCCTGGAGGCGGGGCTGCTGGGCCCAGCACGCCTGGGCAGGACAGCCCTGCTGGCTGATCCTTTGCTGCAGATCCTTTCCCATTACTATTGTCGCTTTAAAAAAATCCAATAAATACACATTTTAAATGGAATTTAAAACTACGCCTTTGTGAAAGGACACTATAAACTTTCTTTCCATTATTGTGATATACAAGGATAGAGTTTTAAAAACGAAGCGAAAATAAAAGCCCCCCAAACCAGGGGAGAAAAAAAAAAACAAAAACGTGGAGATATAAATATTAAGATCACGGAAAAAAATCACCCGACAGCCGTAGTTTCTTCTTCAAAGTGCTGGGGAAGTGGGGAAGGGAGGGGCGGGTCAGTTCTGAAGATTGGACCATAAATACATATATATGATATGCATATCCACATATGTATATATAGATAAAAAGACTGCTGCACCCCCAACCCGCCCCCAGGTGTGAGGGCAAAAGCACCACAGAGGCAGCTCGGGCCGGGCCCGACGCTGAGGTACGCTGACTCCCGGGCACCTAGATCCAGCGGCTGTAGGGACCAGTGACCTTCGTGTAGGCGTAGGAGGACACGGTGACCGCCGAGTCCGTAGGCACGGCCAGCGCCTCGCCGGCGCGCGCGGCCCCCTTCCT